ATTATTTTTATTATTTTATTATATTTAAGTATATTTTTATTGAGACATATATCTATATTTAGTTAATTTATAGCATAACAAGTAGTTAGCTATAGCAAATTAATTTTGTATAAATAGAATAGCTTTTTACTTAAGTTGTAAATTAACTCAGTTGTAAGTTTATAAACTCATTTATAAGTTTCATATGAGTTTCAAGTTATAAATAAAGGAATCAATTTAAATCTATACAAACTACTTTTCCTTTTAATGTTGTCCTTCACCTAGGATTGTTGTGATACTCTACACTAACTTGCTATTGAGTTTATCATTATGAGTTCGATTAACATATCTTAAATTCTAAGACATAATAAATTGCTGAGTTGATTCAAGTATAACAGATACCTATAGAACTTAGAGAAAATCCTAAGGTCAGAAACTCCAATATATAGAATCAGCTACCGCAGCCTTTCAACTTAGACATTAAAATAAACAAAAATGAACCCAGTAATAATGATTAAAATTATCATATTATATTGATAATTATTGAAAAGTAAATTTTATTAAAGAATCACATGAAATTTTTACTTCTTATTTCAATATGTAATATGCATTATATACCATCAATAATAGATTTAGAAAATCTAAATGAAAGTTCTGAAGATGATGATAATTTATTAAATTATATATATAAAAGATAACGTATAGAAAATATTAATGAAATAGAGCATTATCTTAATGCTTCACTTGTACCTTCAAAACTAATTTATTACAATGGTGAAAAATAAGTAATATATTTTATTAATAATTTCATATTATTTTTAAGCTTATTAATTTTATTTTTTTTTAGTTAAATGAATCATAATATCCTTATTAAGCAAAAATGGCAAGAGATTTTTTAGCTATTCCAAGTAAATAAATTTAAAATTTTATGAAACTTTTATAATTTTAATTTTTAATTAATCTAATTTATATTTATTTAAGCTAGTATTCTAATAGAAAGAGCATTTTCTAAAGGAATTGATCTAATTACATAAAAAAGATGTAATTTATCAGCAAAAATAAATAAATTTTTTCATATTTAAATATTTATAAGTTAATTAAATTTGACTCAAAATTTGATTTAAACTTAACTCAACTCAAATAAATTCAAGTCAAATTAGTCAAGTTAAACTTGAGTTAAGTCAAATTGAGTCAAATTTAAAATTTATATAACTCAAATCAAGTCAAGTTGAAAGATTTTATAAAATAAAATTGACTCAACTCAACTTGAAAAAAATGAGTTAAATAGAGTTGATCTTTAAACTCAACTTGACTCAACTCATTCAGAACTCTAATCTGTAATTCTCATGTTTTCTATTGCAAATAGAACATGATGAGCTTTACAGCTAAAGTGATGCAAAATTATAATTATCAATTTTCCTAAAAATATTTTAGAATTTCAAGTATAGAAAGTGTTCTAAGACTGATTTGATAATTAATTCTGGATCAGGCCTAGCTTTGAAGGTGATAGACCCTTTTTTTGACTTTAAATTTATAACTTTCGATTCATGTACTTCTGTAGTTGCCACGGCTCATTTCCAGTTTCTTTTTTATATCTTTTGTATAATTTGAAATGAAACTTATCTAACAAAATATTTGGTAAGCCACTTAATTTAGCATGTTAATCCAGATATTCAGCAGTTAATATTTTATCAAATACAGTCATTTTCCTTTTTATATGAATGTAAGTTAATTTAATTTGGTAATAGTTAACATAAATTAGCCCTGTAAAAAAATAGTTTCTTAAGAGAAACACAAATATAGTATTGTAAATAATGGGACTATACAGTTATCTCAATTTTATGCTATTCACATTTAATAAGGTAAGATCTGGCTTTATACTCACCTTCTATTTCTTCTTCATTATGATCTAATTCGTATAATAAGCAGATGTAATCCCTGCATGATATCTTATCAGTAATCTCATAATAATTAAAATTTTCACTACTACATTCTATGTTTAAATTAGAATATTGATTTAATATCTTTTTGCGAAAATAGGTGCAGTCATAAACTAAACTCTTAGGTTGAGAAATAGGTAATATTACCTTGGTATCAAATTTTTTCAAGACAAATTCATTGAGAACTTGAGATTCAGTAAGCGTAACTGAACTAGTCATATGTGATAAGTTAGAATTTTCTTATCACTTTGTGAACTCAATTCACAAAGTTGTAGCTCTATATGAATGTTATAATCAAAAGACATATTGTCTATAATATACTGGATGTCTTCATACATCATTTTTGAGATAGAATTAGTGAAGAAGGAATGAATTCAATTTATTTTATCTATACCTATTGCATTAAAAAGTGTATAGAGCTTCTTAGCCTACTTAATTCTTTTTTGTAAAAGTACATCAGAAATACCTGCAGAAAGCTGAGCTTTAACTTCTATATTTAGAATTCTACTGACTGTATTAGACTCCAGATTAACATGTTTTTCAGATGTGATCTCACTTCGCCTCTGGATAAGAACCTCTCCAAATTGGCAGTAATAAAAGATAGCTTTTTGGGTCACATAATCAGCAAGGATTATAGCATCACAAAGTTTTTCATACAAAAGAGAAAGAATTAGTGTTCCCATTTCTATAATATTAACACTTGAATTTGATTCTCTTTGGAAAGATACTGAAGGTATCAAATCATCCAGGATCATTTTAGTATCTGCCTTTTCTGTCACTTTTCAAATGAATTTTTCCCTTTGTTTTTTCTGATTTTCCTTATAAAGCACCCTTTTGTTAACTGAAACCTGCTTATTCTTTTCAGAGAAAATGGTTTTCACTTTCGCAAGTTTCTTCTCTTACTGCCTAATTTCATCACTAACTATTTTCTTATTCACTTTACCTAGAAAAGAGTCCATGACTTTTTCCTCTGATGACTTTGAATTGGCAGATACTGTTTTATTTGCTACTATAGAGTTAAGTATATCAGCAGGTTTTTTAGAAGAGAAATCCTTTTGCGAATGCCTAGAATCTTCTTCTAACTTTGCAACCCTAGCCTTAAGCTCAGCATTCTTAGTATCACGCCTGATATTTTCAGTATCACATTTAGTATTCTCAATGGTAGTATTTATTTTAGCTTTTTCCAATTTTTCAATTCTATTCCTAAGCTCAGCCTTTAATTTTATAATTTCATCTTTGGTCTCATCATATTTAGCCTTAAACTCAGCATTCTTAGCTATAAGTTTGACATTTTCTTACCTAAGTAAGTCAATTTAGATGCTATTTTTAAAAATAATTTTATATACTGTATATTTACATTCAAAATAAAAAATTTACGTAATTTCACTTTGTGAACTTAGTTTACGAAATTTTATCAAGAAATTTTAAATTTGTCAAGAAAATTTTATTAAAATAATCTGTAAAATACAAAAAAAATCTAGTTATCTTGCTTAAATAAAGAAACTGTAGAGCTTTTTTCTACATTCTGATTTGATCTTTTTAAAGATACATTATAGAGTATACTCATATTAACAATTAGAATATTTCGCAATATCAGTAATGATTCTATAAATTTTTTTACAATGGATGGATCTGACAGTTGAACTAGAATTTCTGATTTATAAATATGATAATATCAATAGATCTTGCTCATATCCCTTATAAGAACACTTAAATATAATTTCTTTCCAGCTATCTGCATCCCAATAATCCCAAATTCATCCTTATTAGATTTGCAACTTTTACAAGTCTAATACATTCTATTATTGACCTTGCATCATAGCTTCACTTGATTATTTCTTTTCTTTTGCATTGTACATGATAAACGTGAGCATTCAATAAATAAAAGTTCGTATTTTTTTATTATATTTCATTACAAATATAACATTTAACCGTCTTTCAGATTATCTATCACCTTTTCTATTCATACTGATACTACTTTAACATTTAGAACTGTTAACGAATGTGATTTTTTCTAGAGGAAAATTTTTCAATATTGCCTGAATGACTGGTACTATCACATTGGTTATGTAAGTACCTTCATTCAGAGATTTCACAAAATTTATTTCAAATGCGGGATTATTCTAAGAATCACGTTTAATATAAATAAAAATATAAGCAAAAGCAGAGAGCAAAAAATCACTAAGTATTCTAAAATATCATAAAAAATACTTACAATGTATCTAAAATTCTCTTTACGATTATTATAAGCTCGTTTTCTATTTCTTTTCATGTCTCATCATGTATAAGTTTCCTTGAAAGATCATTTTTACGATTTTTAATAAAATTAGCAATAAATTTATTACATTTTCTTTTCATTATAAACGGAAGAGATAAAGGTACTATTTGTCATACTGGCTTCATAAAAGTGTACTTAAATTGGCTTGGCAACTTCTTTACAACTTCTGACTTGTCAGAAATTACTTGACTAGCTAGAGGGTCCATCTATGATAATTCAGAAATATTTATACTATTTATACCATAGTATAGATGCTGGTTAATTAGCATTGTTATATTTTTCTTGAGTTTGCCTTTCAATTCATTTATATTTTTTTCAATCTCATCAGAGTTAAGAGGTTTTTCTTTATTCATTCTAACTACTCCTATATCACGTAAACTGCAGACTCCTTCAAAAGCAATCTCAAACTAATATAATTAGATGATGCGTTAATTTCAGTAATATAATAATCTCATCATTAAAAAAATGCATACGCTATCAGTACATATGCAAAGTTATCATCTTAGTATGACCATCACGTCAATGAAACCTTATGTGATACTAAATAACTATATAATATCTTATGGATTAATCACCTCCCTCATGCATTAAGAAATATTTTTAGAGTAGAGCTAATGGAATGATTAAAATACAAATAATAATTTATACATTCTCTATGCAGTTCAAGAAATAGTTCCTTTAGATGCAGGCTAATAGGATGAATACACTATCATTTCAGATCTCATTCATGTAAGTAGATCACATAATATCATTATTTAGTAGAAAAGAAATATTAGTAAAGCTTTACAACTAACCTGAGAAAGTATTCAGAGAAGTTTTAATTGACGCGAAGGTTCTTTAGTATAAAGATTACTAGCAAATCCTATGGCTTAGTTTACAACACTTTTTAAATCATTTTGTGGAATCTAGAGATCTTTTTCTATTCCCTGATAAATAACCGAGATAGCAGTAATATGTTCTTACTTAGCAGTTACTAAAAAATTATAAATTTTTGAGTATAGTTCAGAAGACATAGTTTTGTGTTATTAATATAGAATAAGTGACCTGAACATAAATTTTTCATACTATCTTTTTAAATGCTACCATTTCTCATTCTCTTCATGTTAAAAGAAAAGAAATAGGAGAAGTACTTTATGCCAAATTTTTTTTTGAGAATAAGGACATGCAGAATGTGCATTGAAGATCTTAACATTACATTATATATACTTTAATAAGAATCAAAAACATGCTAATTTATATCACGCACTGTTCTCCTACTGTGGCTGGACAGTATATTATTTTATGAATACTATAATATTCAGGATTTTATAGTTATTTTAATATGTTAAGCCAATATATACCTCTAATAACTATATATAGAGTTCTAGACAAGTCGAGTTAACTCACGAGTTAGATAAGCCAAGTTGAGTTCAAATCAAGTCGAATTTATGTTTTTTTGACTCAATGATTTGCGAGTCAAGCCAAATTCAAGTCAAGTTAAATATTTAACTCAACTTGATTTAAACTCAACTTAATTCGAGTTGACTCAAGTTGACTTAAACGATAAAAAAATCATTCTAAGAAGAATGATAAGGAATCGTTCAACTTAAACGATAAAAAAATTGTTTTAAGAAGAACAATAAGGAATCGTTCAACTTGAATGATAAAAAAATCATTCAAGAAGAACAATAACCCGAATCATTCGCTTTCCCCAGTCTCTCCATGATCTTTTCATTTTTTTTTCAAAATCAAATCGAGTTAAAATCGAGTTAAATCAAATTGAGTTGAGTTTAAAATTTATATAACTCGAATCAAATCAAATTAAAAGATTTTATAAAATAAATTTGACTCGACTCAACTCAAAAAAAAAGAGTTGAATAGAGTTAATCTTTAAACTCAACTCAACTTGACTCATTCGGAACTCTAACTATATAGTCTTGCTGATATAATAATTTTTTAATAAGTATGAATGTTGCAAAAGATAATCATTGTCATAATTAGGCTTTCTTCTCATATATTCAATTATTTCTTACTGGATAATAAAGTCTCTCATCCCCATAATAAATATATTCTGATTGTTCTGATTTATTTTTTGTACCTAAAAACTTCATATCATCAGAAGTACCATCATTTTTCACCATCTTTCAAACTCGTTTTACCAAAGATTCAAATCTTTTCTTGTAATTCCTATAAGCTTGCTATATTACTATCACATAGAAATTCTCAAACTGATAGTTATATTGTCTCGCAATCAAGAATCTCCAAGATCATTTCATTGATCTTCCTGAACTTCTTGAAAAATACTTTATTAAAATAGATTAGAAGATCTAACCCAGAATAGGTAGATCATACATAGCATCTACAGGTGATACATTTCATAAGCAATTATTCAGATTATATAGCGTAAAAAATAAATTATATTTCAGTTGAAAGTAATTAAAATATTTTTCAAAACCAGTCATTCAAACTGGTTAAACAATCATGACTTTTGTCCCATCTTTTAATTTTAACACAGTGTCTTTTGTGAATAGTAATAAGTTATTTTGTTTTGCATACTGAGATGAGATAAAAATTTTGCTTGTATTGCTTTTGCAATTCAATGATTGATAAAAAGTTGATGAAATTATTTCTTACCTGGTAGGTAAAATACAAGCTGACTCAAAATTTGAAGCACTTGGCATAGTATTTTTTGCTACAGTTGCTTTAGATTGTGCATAATTTTTATAGTTAGCCGTAAAATTCTCATCATAATCATATGATACTAATACCAATTTATCTTTTTCTGAATATAGATTAGATTGGGATGAAAGATCTAACTGAAGACGATTAATTTTAGCCTCTTCTTGTAATATATATTGTTTATATTGCCAGATCTGACATTCCCTTGTATTAATAGATTTAAGAATTTCATTTCTTCTTGTATGCTCATTCGAAATAGTATTTCCAAAAATGCATCTCTTCAAGTAGTTATCTTGATTGCAATGATTATATACATACTCTCTAGGTATGAAAACTAAGGAGTCACATACACTACAATAAATATAATTGGTTGGATGACCATTATGAACTTTATCATTTTCATAAAGCTTTTTATATATTATAATATATCTATTCTTAGAAAGAATTCTTGGATTCTCTTTAAGTACAGAGGGTAGACAAAAATATTCATACACTTTTTCACTCAATATAAAACTTAAAAAATTTTTGCAATAATAATAAAAAATCAATTAATTTTTATTTAAAGCTAATTAATATCTACATTTTATACTAAGTAACTAGTACTTAGTTAGGTTACCATTTGTCGCAATCACCGCTTGAGTTTGTTGTGACATACTATCGACTAGGTTTTCGATAGTATGCTTCAGAATTTCCTGCCATGCCTTTTTAACATATCAGTCAAGATCAGCAAGATTAGATAGAGGTTTTTTATAAGCTCAGATGCTTTTCTTGAC